TTAAATGTGGAAGAACCTCCGCTCTCAACCCTTTTCCTGGCTAGCTCGTAAGATCCTTTCTGAAGCTGCTGAACGCGATACAGATCGGCGGCGCTCAGATACGCATCCTTAAGGGAACTTGGCCTACTCACCGTCAACGCTTTTCGTGCCACATTATTCAAACCGGCAACGAATCTCTCGACCTTAGCAAGCTCCGTAGGCACAAGCACCCGAGCAAAGCGCGCCAACTCCAAAAACTTCTTGTGGTACTCGACCACAGACAGGGATCCTTGCTGCAAGTGAAGGAACTCATCAAACATGGCGGCTCGCACATGCGTTGGGTAAAACCTCTCGCGCATCCTATCGTTAAGCGCGGACCAACCAAACTCAGGCTCTTCAAGGAGGGTCGGACCCTCACGGACCCACCACAGATCAGCTTCTTGGCAGAAGTAGAACGTTGCCAGTTCCACCCTTCTCTCCTCGGGACAACCCACAACCGCGAAGATCTTGTCGAACACCCTCATCCATTCTTCCAAAACTACCGGCTCTTCTTCACCCGCGAAGATTGGCGGCCTATGTCCCGACACCAAGCGACCTATATCGCAATGCCTAGCAGGTTGAGGAGGCGGCGCAACGTGATTGTTGTTCAGCAAGGCTTCACTAAGCGTCTGCGTCAGTTGGTGGAGATTCTGAGCGAGCTACTCGTTTGTTGGGGTCTCCGGGGAGCGAGCTCGGGGACGAGGAGGCATCGCAAACTTCTACAACAACAACACGGTTACCAAAAGATAGCAAACAAGCAAAGAACAGAAAGCAACACTCAACTCACCGTGCAACCTAGAGTCCTAAGCCTAACACTTAGATTCTTAAGGTCGCTTAAAGGTCTCAAACCACACTTAACCACTTAGAATGTCTAAACTTAACCCTCCCTAGGCTCAAACCTAGGCTCTGATACCAACTGTAACACCACCTTAAAAACATGCTATTTAAAAGCCTTAAACATGCAGATAACTAAACTAAAAAACAAACACAGTGGAAGACTGAAAGATAGATAGATAGACATAATCCGGAACACGGGGTGTTATGCCACTTCACCAAAAGGATGAACGCACCGGCAACATCTGCAATGTTTACATCTAAACTCATTGTCTCAAAGTTCTATATTGATGCTGGCACACAGGCCACAAAACAAAACGGAGAAGCTATACTAGCAAGCACTAGACCGTGCACTTGTCTAGACATCACCTGAAAGAACACAATGAAACATGGGACGACGCCCGGCCAGCGAATAATGCTGGTAACCCACCAATACATGTGAAATATCATACATAGATAAGATATACATTTGTAAAGCCATTTTCGAAACAGAATACACATATATATAAGTGCAAAACCAAGAGTAATCGTCAACACAAGACTTAACACTCTCAACAAGAACACGGGAACACATCCCAAGACCACAAGGACAACAACAACTCAAAAGGATAAAGACAAGACCAACGGCGACACATGCCTAGGCAACACATGCCTTTGTGACTACACACATCACAAGAAGAGAACTCACAACAACGGCTACACAAGCCCTCGTGACATCACCCATCACGAGTTGATATGCCTTCCTTATGCCCGGTTCCAACCTTATTTCTAGTTCCAACCTTTACCTCCAGGACCCTGTACACCGAGTCCAACCTTTTTTCTCCGGGAACCGTCGTTTCGCTTCCAACAGTCCCTCCAACAAAACCACCAATTTCATAGTACACGAGGGTACCGATCACACATGGAAACACATGCCCTGGATAACACATGTTATCCCAGAAATAAACATGTGAACCTTACACAAAGGCACGGCCACCACGAGGACCGCTACAATACCTGGGTGACTAATGTCCCATACCACTAATCGTGCAATCCAGGTAAAGCCACACACACATCACACCACAACAGGAATCAATCAACCGATCACAACGAAGATATGAAACCATACTCAATCAAGGAGTGGATCACAGTCCAACAACAACAACGATGAATAACACAAGTTATCATCAACCAATCGGAACGTACAAACAACACACACGCTAGCATCTAAACACTGAACTAGCATGCTCATCAAACGGGTAAAACAAAGGTAGTTCCGAAGAACACACAAGACTCATCATGGTTCAACGAAACACAATGTTGAACCCTTAGCACGATTCACCACACAAAAACCTACATGGAATCCTACCATATAGTTCTAGACATACGAAACGTCAAGAAGACACTCAAATAGTTCCACAAAAGAACATCGGGAAGTCAAAAGACCAAATACCGAGTCAAAAGAATCACGGGGAACAAATCCCCAACAACATCATCACACGTACCCGCGGGTAGGCCCACGGGTAAGCCTCTACCCGCGGTTACAGGCTACCCAAAATGTGTACCCCGCGGGTGGGCGGTGGGTTGGACCCCTACCCGTCGTTCCGCCCGCGGGTACACCCCTGTACCACAAACAATTCCCTTCGGGAATTTTCAACTCCAAGCTCAAATTTAAGTCCAAAACATGCCAAATCTCACCAAATACAACAAATTGACTTGAATCAAAGGAATAGGCAAGCAATGGCAGACAAGAACCCAATACACAAGCTCTAGATATGCATTTTCACAAGACAATGCATAAACTCTCACATTTCATAGCAAAACACATGTAGAATCCAAGAAATATTCATATAGGTAAGCAAAATAGATTTTGTAAAGCATGGGTTACCTCTTGTTGACTAAAGACTTTCACTTTACACCTCAAAAAGCTCCTCACTAGGCTCACCTTCCAAACCCACTTCAAGAACATACCAAAAGATCATAAAGATCCTATCTTTAAGAAAAGACACCTTAGATAAAACCAAAAAACACAAGATGAACTTCGATCTTACCCTCCTAGATGCCCAAATATATGAAACTTTGAATCTTGGATGCAACTCTTGAAGTTTTGGCAAGGCTCCAACTTGGCTTGGAAGAAAAATTACTCACCTTTTTAGAGAGAAGGTGGAGCTAGATTTTTAGAAAGTGTAAGGAAAGAGTGAAGGTGGAGTACTAGGTTAGGTTACAATACTAACACCAAGTGAAAGGTCAAGAATACCCTTACTAACATAAGGAAGTCTAAGGAACAAGGAAACTCCTTACAAAGCTCAAGGTACAACTTTGACTTTGGGGTTGACTAGTCAATTACTAGTCCCCAACTAATAAATTTCAGGAATTTAAGGAATTAAATTACAAATTGAAATAGGATTAATTGCTTAATTAATCCCTTAATTGAATTTGGATTTTGGGGTGTCACAGAAACAACCGGAGTATGAAGTGCATGTCAAGCTGGAAAACAAACTAGAGCAGCTCATACCCCTCAAAATATGATCAATACCACACACTGCTTGGAACTCATTCACATGGACCTTATCGGACCTACCAGAACAGAAAGCATTGGAGGTAAAAGGTACATTTTAATTTGCGTTGATGATTTTTCTCGGTTTTCGTGGGTCAGTTTTCTCAGGGAAAAGTCAGAAACTTTTGAAGCCTTCAAAGCCCTAGCCATAAAACTCCAAAAAGAGAAAAATGAGTCAATCATACGCATTAGAAGTGATCATGGACGTGAATTCGACAATCAAGTGTTTGATGATTGGTGTGCATCGGTTGGTATCTCTCATGAATGTTCAGCCCCTAAAACGCCACAACAAAATGGCGTTGTTGAAAGGAAGAATCGAACGATTCAAGAGATGACTTGGGTACTTCTCAATGCCAAAGATTTGCCATAGAGATTTTGGGCTAAAGCAGTAAGTACTGCCTGTCACACGATAAATCGGGTATATCTGCGACCTGGAACGCATCACACTCCGTACGAAATATGGAAAGGTAAGAAGCCTAATATCAACTACTTCCATATTTTTGGCTCACAGTGTTTTATTTTGAAGGACCGAAGCCCAACTGGAAAATTTGAACTTAAAAGTGATGAAGAGCACTTTCTTGGTTACTCAACGAATAGCCGTGTCTACCGGGTCTACAACAAAGTCACAAAATCCATCATGAAATCGGCAAATGTGGTTGTTGATGATCAACCTGATGAAATGACTGAGGTTATAGGAGTCTCTGACTTCGAAGTTACTCCAGAATCTGATACAAATAATCCAGAACCTCCTGAAACTATATCATCAGAACCTACTCCAACCCCACCATCTACTAGTCCAGAACCTGGTCCAGAACCAGATGTTGGAGCACTCGAAATGGCTATCCGAACTCACAAAGATCATCCTACACAAAACATCATAGGAGATCCATCCTCCAGGGTACGAACTAGAGGGATTAAGCGAAATTATCTTGAGCTTGCAGGGTATACGTGCTACACGTCAAAGATCGAACCCAAAACAGTAAAAGAAGCCTTATCCGATGAACACTGGATTAAAGCCATGCAGGAAGAACTCGGAGAATTTGAACGAAACAAGGTATGGAATTTAGTCCCTAAACCTGACGGTGTAAATGTTGTAGGGACAAAGTGGATGTTTCGTAACAAAACTGATTCAGCTGGAAACATTGCTCGCAACAAAGCACGACTGGTAGCACAAGGCTACTCTCAAATTGAAGGCATCAACTATGAAGAGACGTTTGCACCTGTAGCACATCTAGAATCCATTCGTCTCCTGCTGTGTATAGCTTGTACTCTAGGGATAAAGTTGTTTCAGATGGATGTCAAAACGGCTTTTCAAAATGGATATCTCTTCGAAAATATATATGTTGCTCAGCCTAAAGGCTTTGAAGACCCTCATCATCATGACCATGTCTACAAACTGGAAAAGGCTCTATATGGACTAAAACAAGCTCCAAGGGCCTGGTATGAAAGATTGTTCCAGTATCTTCTCCAGCACGGCTACAACTGAGGGGGAGTCGAAAAAACCTTATTTATCAAAAGGTCAGGTAAACATATTACAATTGCTCAGGTTTATGTTGACGATATTATCATTGGTTCCACTCAAATAGATGCTACAGATCAACTGGTTCAAGTCATGCAACAGGAGTTTGAAATGAGTATGATCGGTGAACTGACCTATTTTCTAGGACTACAGGTTCAACAAACCAATGAAGGTATTTTTATATCTCAAGAAAAATATGCAAAAGGACTTCTAACGAAGTTTGGACTCGAGTCAGCTAAAGAAGCACGAACGCCAATATCTACAACTACAAAATTAAGCAAAGATGAACCAGGAAAGCCAATTGATCCTACTCAATACAGGAGCATGGTCGGAAGTCTACTATACCTAACAGCAAGTCGTCCAGAAATTATGTTTAGTGTTGGAATATGTGCCAGATTTCAAGCTGCCCATAAAGAATCACATCTCAAAGCCGTGAAAAGAATAATTAAATACGTCAAAGGTACTCTCGATTATGGCATTTGGTTTTCCAATGATACTAACTTGAATCTTGTAGGATACAGTGATCCGACTGGGCTGGGAATGCAGATGATCGCAAAAGTACCTCTGGTGGTTGTTTCTTCTTTGGAAAAAACTTAGTTGCCTGGCTAAGTAAGAACCAAAATTCGAAATCTCTCAGCACAGCTGAAGCTGAATATATAGCAGCTGGTAGCTGCTGTACGCAGCTCCTATGGATGAGACAAATGCTTCTAGACTATGGTCTACATCAAGAGTGCATGACACTCTATTGCGACAACACCAGTGCTATCAACATCTCCAAGAACCCAGTTCAGCATTCCAGTACTAAACATATTGAAATACGGCATCACTTCATAAGAGAATTGGTAGAAGACAAGGAGATCAATCTGGAGTACATTTCAACGGAGAAAAATCTAGTTGACCTATTTTCAAAACCACTTGATAACACAAGATTTGTGTTACTCCGGGCTGCTCTTGGAGTGTGCAGGTTTTCTATCGACGTCCATCTCTAATGGAAGAATTGTCTGTGAGAGACTCAAAAGAGATCTTTGCCAGAGCTTCGGGCATTGTAGATGATCCCTAGCCTCTTGATGAGGTGTTCGACGAAGGGGATCTTCAAGCATCGGGCTCGACAGCTACGGGCTCAATTTACGGTTTGATTTCTTTATCCTCTTAGGAAGCAATAACTTGTTGCTTTTTCCTAGGCATGCATCACATCCTTGTGTTCTAATTTGCTTTTATCACCTTGGTTGTGTTTGGTTGCGATGTGTTGTTGCTATGCTTTTTGTCTTAGGATCCCTCTGCCGGTCTGTCTCTTGTGCCTCTGTCTACAATTGCTTTCACAGGTTCCCTAGCACAACGCTCAGACGAGGCCATCCCCAAAATGGCTGAGCACTCGCAAGATCCAGCCTCTGCTACAGCATCTACTCCAGCCGCTGCTCTAGTCACTGCTCCAGCTGTTGATCCTGCCTCTGCTCTAGGCTCCACTCCAGAGGATGTTGGGGTTTCCATTCATGACATAGTCTCTGAGCCTGAGGATCCCTCCGTTCAAGCAGCCATTATGTCAGATATTATTGCCAATATGCCCAACATTGCCTGTACACAAAGGGCTGTCCCAGTGATCACTGTGCCGTTTGCATCATCTAAGGCCAAAGGGAAGGCCAAAATCACTGATCCAGATGAACCTCCAGTTGCTCCTGTTCCAGCTCCAACGGTTAAGAGAAAATTAAATTTGTCTGAAGATATTGAATTTGTGCATGAAACTCGCCCAAGTAAACGCTCTGAACACCGTCTGACGGGCCTTGCTCTGCGTACTAGATCCAGGACTGGCATGTCTACTCCAGCTCCTCCTCCAGCTTCTGCTCCTGCTTCAAAGCCAGCCGCTTCGTCTAAGACCAGGGCCTCTAAGGTATCCAAGGAAACACTTTTCAAACCAATCTTGCTCTCTCCTTCCCTGGAAACAATTTGGCAACTACATTGCAGTCGCGACATCCTTGTTGAGAATAACTTTAGCATTGAGTATCTTATCCGCACTTGCAACATCATACATCTTCTTCATGCCCAGAATCTTCTTCAGACTATACAAAATGTGGGTGCTTACTTTGCTTGGCTAATCTCAGAATTTTATGCAAATATACAATCTGATTCTCTCCTGACAGCTTCTCCGCACTATCATCGGGTATTCTTGAGGGATGTTTGGTATGACTTCAGTCCCGCTATTATAAATGCTTAATTTCAGCGTGATGCTTGTGATGACTTGTTTGAACCTGCCGGAGATTTTCTTGCATCGCACCTTACCCACAATGAAGTCACAGTCTGGCCCAAAAATGGTCTTCCATCGAACTGTTCTTACTGCCGTATACTCTGTTCTATTTCCTTTAGCATCAAGTAACCGGATTCCGAATGTCTCTGTGCACACGGTCACTAAGAAGATGGCTTCTCTATTATACAAAGTCCGGCATCAATTGCCCATTAATCTTGGTCATCTTATGAACATTGCAAAGAAGAAGGAAGTCAAAATTCACATGAGCCAAGGGAATCTGAAGAATCCGAAACAAGGAACATAACCCTGGTGGCCAATCAACAAGCATCAACATCAAACAGGTCAAATTCTAACTCTTGTGAATTCTTATCTAACGAACAATATGCTTTGTTTTTACGTAAAATGAAAAGGTTCATGAGGAAGAATAACTTCAAAGACTATCAAAGATCATCCAACCGTAGGCAATACGAAACATCTCCTCAATCGTCAAAACAAGAGACAATGGATTCACAGATGTTATGTGTAAGTGTAAAAATGTTGCACATTTAAACCTCTTAATATTGACCTATATTAGTTGTCAAAGTAGTTCTGGATTAGTTGCTGGATTAGTCACACTGTCTGGAGTAGTTGACTGGATCAGCGCAAGAAAGTAATCCAGGAGGTATGAAACTACTTCAAATCTTTTATTCAGTTGAGACCCTATCATGGTGGAGATCTACATCAATTGGAGAAGCCAAAATCAATGATGGAAAGAGTGCTTGATTTGTGGATCGAAGGATTCTTTACTACCTATATAAAATGCTACTTTGTTTAGCATTTTTCACATGATTTTACTCTGAAATTCCTTGGTTAATTATTACAAATATATTCTGTATTGCTGAGTGTGAAGAAAGGTCCTTAACCAGTTCATGAAGCAATGAAGATCGCCTACACATCGGATCCACTGGAGTAGGCTTTGGAGTAGTTATAGGTTATACTTTAGTGTGTAATTAACTCTCCTCTTGTACTCCTTTTTATCATAGTGGATTTGGATTGATGTGAGTGGCCCCGCAGACATAGGAGTGGGGCTCCGAACTGCGTGAACATTTCCTGGTGCATGCTTTCTCTTACTGCTATCTATTTTATGTTCTTTATTATATTTGGAGTAGGATTGCATCTAGTCCAACTTTATAATTGAAATAAACTTAAATTCTTAATCTAAATCTTGCATTCAAGACTCACGTGCTTTTTCACTATGCTATAATTGTCGAAAGCCAGGATATTTCTAGGCGAACTGTCCTCATCAAATAGTCAGCAAGCATCAGGATCAAAATGCAAACAAAAGCTCACCGAAAGAAATAGTCGAATCCACCAAGCGAAGTGATAAACCAAAATCATCAACCTCTAGACACGAGAGAAGAAGAAAGGCAATGGTGGTTAATGAGCTAGCTGAGGAAGCTCAATCAGAATCAGGCACCTCAAGCTCAAGCTCAGAGAGTGATAGTTCAGAAGAAGAAAGAGGTTTTCTATGCTTATTCAGTCAGGAATAAGGAACAAATGACCTTTGCCTAGTAGCTGATGATGACGAGGTAAATTCTCACGGGAGGACTCCGTTGCACCTGATCAAGATTCTCTCTCTCTCTCTCTCTCTCTCTCTCTCTCTCTCTCTCTCTCTCTCTCTCTCTCTCTCTCTCTCTAGAACAAATGACCTTTGCCTAGTAAAAGGTCTTCTATGCTTATATATATATAAAGGAAATGTGATCGAGCGGTTGACTGCTAGAAACGGTCCCGGCTCACGCCCAGGAAGCTCTCTCCTTCCTCGTTAAACACCATGATTGTAACACCCCAAAAATTTGACTTCCAAAACTTTTGTTAAATGACATTACAATTCAAAACTTAGTATAAAAAGAATTACTAAAAATAAATTTTCTTGTAAATTGTACTTCAATTCAAGTCTCAAATAATTCGTAATTCAAATTATAACACTTATAGGGTGCTACCGCCCCATCTAACCTATCAAGACTAGATGCAAGGCTAATCACAAAACCGTCAAATACTTCAATTACCTCTATTACATTTATTCTCTTCTTCTTCTAAAGCGCTCTTTCACTTCAAGCTTCATAAATCCCTGTTTACATTTTTTTTTTCCAAGAAACACATAACAAACAGTGGAGATTAGCAAAACATGCTAAGTAAGGGTTACTTTGACCGGAAAAAAAATTTAAAATAAAATAAGGTACAATACTTTCAAAAATAACTTTTCTTTCAAAATCACCTACAAAACCTTCTTCATTTCATCAACAACCAATAACCACATCAAAATGTACCTTCAAATATTTAACTCATTTTCCACGTACGAATAATCACTTTCAAAGAATATCACCACAATAATAATTAGCCACAAGGCTTACTTAAAAACCGATGTGTGCTTTAAAAATAGTTGATTTATCTTTTCAAGTAAATACAAGTTTTTATGGAAAATCACCAATCACATAAATGGGCACGAAATCACAAATCCGGTAACATAAATTGGCATAAGATCCCATAGCCGATATAAATGGGCATAAGATCCCATAGCCAATACAAATGGGCATAAAATCCCATAGCCAATATAAATGGGCATCAAATCCCATAGCAAAAATAAATGGGTATAAAATCCCATAGCCAATATAAATGTGCATAAAGTCCCATAGCCAATATAAATGGGTATCAAATCCCATAGCCAAAATAAATGGATATCAAATCCCATAGCCAATATAAATGGGTATAAAATCCCATAGCCAATATAAATGGGTATAAAATCCCATAGCCAATATAAATGGGCATCAAATCCCATAGCCAATATAAATGGGCATAAAGTCCCATAGCCAATAATAATGGGTATCAAATCCCATAGCCAAAATAAATGGGCATCAAATCCCATAGCCAATATAAATGGGCATAACATCCCATAGCCAATATAAATGGGTATCAAATCCCATAGCCAAAATAAATGGGCATCAAATCCCATAGCCAATATAAATGGGCATCAAATCCCATAGCCAATATAAATGGGTATAAAATCCCATAGCCAATATAAATGGGTATAAAATCCCATAGCCAATATAAATGGGCATCAAATCCCATAGCCAATATAAATGGGCATCAAATCCCATAACCAATATAAATGGGTATACAATCTCATAGCCAATATAAATGGGTATAAAATCTCATAGCCAATATAAATGGGCATAATATCCCATATCCAATTACAGAACATTATACCGCCATGATAGGTTTCCAAAAAAAAATTTCCTTCACTTCAACACCAACATAGATGTTTTACATCACAATTTAAACAACTAAAATCAACATTTCACTTTTACTAATCATTTAAATTCTTTTATGCATATATAATAAAATATATACACGCTAATTAAACAAAAATACTATTATTATATAAATAAATATATATATTTGTTGTTTTGTTGTACGAGTACGGAAAATACATTTATATACATATTTACATACGGTAATGTATAACAACAAATCACATAAAAACATGTACATTTTTTTTATGCCCAAATCACAATAAAAGTACATATTGTCAAACACAAGAATATTTCCAAATAATCACTTAAATCATTTTATAAGGCAAATAATTAAGAGCCAACAATTCATCATTTTAATAATTAATTTGGGCAAATTAGAAATGGAGAATAACCACTTACTTGATGAGAGTTTCACTTAATTTTTCTCTTAGCCGTTTAAGAATTCAAAGGCTCCTCTTTAACTTGATGGAATTACTTGGCTCTTGAAAGAATAAATAATTTTTTTTTTTTATAAATGATATATGTATACATACGGCAATTCCTGTTTTTTTTCTTAAATAATTTTTTTATATTACTGTACATATATATACGATTACATATCTATATAAATTAGATTTTTATTATTACTTTATTTATAAAGTACGTATATATATATTTTCATTGCAAAAATAAACTACATTAAGATTATTATTATTATATGTATTATACTTTTTTTTATAGAATCATACGGTGTAACATAAAAATAAAATAATAACTTTTCCTGTAGAAAACATTTACGGTAATATATCTAGATATAATTCATACCACAAAATCAACCAACCAAAATCTCATACTAGTACATTTTCGACTAATACATCATACCAACATCATGCCAATATCATACCAACATTTCCAAATCACACTTGAATATTTCATAAAATAATTCATTTCATTCATAACTTTCAACCAATCAAAAATTCATTTTTTTAAAACAAAGATGGGCAAAGTAAAATGAAGAAAAACCACTTACTGGGTAATCAATTCCTCAAAACAAAGCTTCAAAGCCTACTCTTGATCTCTTGGAAAGAAAAAGAAATGGAAGAAGACTTGATCAACTCTTGATGGTTGAAGAAGAAGGAACAATTTTATGTTTACAGATGAAAGTTTCGGCAAAGGAGAGACCAAAGTGAGATGAAATTTCTCGGCCAATAATGAGAGGAAAACCAAGGGGAAAGTTACGGCCAATAAGAAGAAAAAGATGAAGGAGAAATATCTTTGTCTTGGTCAACATGAATAAAAAGGAAATGATAATTTTTAATAATGAAAAATAAAGGTGATGGAGAAATTATTAACAAGAATTAAGGTAGGTTAGGGAGTGATGAGTGCTAATTAGTTGACCAAGATTTATCCACATGCTAAATGAACTTGGACACAAATCACGACCACATTCCTAATCTTATATGTATAACAAAATCTTATTTAATGTTTAGCATATACTTCATACAAATTACATATATATGGTACATACATAATCTACGGAACATACCATAACATAGTTTTACTAATATATCATCAAATGTGGACAATAACATGAAAGTTGTAACGGTTTGATGATAAGGATCTTGCTATTATAAAAGAGAGGTGTAGGGTTCAAAACTCATTATAACCAATTTTATTTTTCTTAAATATGAAGATTAAACA